AAAAACACGGGTTAAAAAAAATCACACGGTAATTTAAAAATATTTTGAATTAAACAACAACAAATGCACAAAATATCATAATTTGTGGAAGTCTCTTCTACTTTCATCCCTTGGTCCCCAGAATCAAATATTCTAAATATGTTCCAAATATCATAATGGGAGAAATTGGTCACTGTCTGAAACATATACCACACTTTGTAAGATCATACCACAACCTCCTAAATCAGGCCCTGCCAACTTTCTGTGAGGCAGCTCTTCTAGATCAGCATTTCTCTAACTTTTTTTTTCCTCCCAGGAAGCCCTCACTAAATAGGTCTTCCAATTCAATTTCCCTTGGCTAGATCCTAAAAGTGCCTGTGACCACTTCGTTACTACTGAGCACAAGGAAAGTATGACCCAGGTGACAATAAAGTGAAAAGGACACAGTCATTAAATGGTTGTGGTTAAAATCTCATTTAAATTTTACAAAAACAACATGTGACCCTTTGAATATGTTTCTAGGCTTCCAAAGGCCTGTTCAAATGCAGAGCCCATAGCTTCAAACATGCTTATTCAATGAATTAAATAACTGAGTGAATGAAAATGTGCGTGAAGGCGTATCCTCAGTATTAGAATTTCCTAGTTGATGGACTTGAGAAGATCTGACCAACCAAGCCTGCAAGGTAATCTAGTCTTTTTATAGAATCAATACTGGCCCGGTGCACAAAATTCATGCACGAGGGGGTGTTGTCCCTCAGCCCGGCCTGCACCCTCTCCAATCTGGAACCCCTCGGGGGATGTCCGACTGCTGGGGGCTGTCCCTATAGGATTGGGCCTAAACCGGCAGTCAGACATCCCTCTCATAATCCGGGACTGCTGGCTCCTAACCACTCACTGGCGTGCCTGCCCAATGGCCCCTAACCACTCTGCTGCTGGCCTGCTTGCCCCCAACTCCCCCACCCCCCATTGGCCTGCTTGACCCCAGCTGCTCCCCCCACCCCCGCTGGCCTAATAACCCCCAAATGCCCTCCCGTGCCAGCCTCATGGGCCCCAACTACCCTCCCCAGCCAGCCTGATGCCCCCAACTGCCCTCCCTGGCCAGAGGCCCTCCGTGGCCGGGCGCTGCCAAGAAGCCAGGCCACCAGGCAGAACATCCACTGTCATTGCATGCAATTGGGTGAGTTACATCATAAATTCCACACCCAACTCCATTCAGTAGGAAATGTCAACTACCTGGAACCTGTGGAATAATGCCTGGTGATTCCCTGCAGGTGTCTGAGCTGCGTATGTGGGAAAAGGTAGGATGTGTGTGTCATATATATATCTACCTACCTCAGAGATGTGCATGCATGTGTGTGCCGAGGCAAAGGACACACAAAATCAAGAGAGTTTGCAACTACACCTCAGGAGTAATGACTGGCAGGAGACTGGCTCCAGACTGTAACTTCCTAAGCCTATTGCAGTCCATTTCCAGGATGTGTCCCGCCTCTGTTATGCCACCTGCTGACGGGAGGCTGGCCTCTCCTGTGGGCACACAGCAGCAGGGAAAAGCAGGAGCAAGAGGCCCTCTATACACTGGGTGCTCCCGAGAGCTCCCACTCCTGGCAGGTGAGCATGTGACCCTCCCTGGTGGGAAGAAAAGCCGGGCGGCCATGAAAGGTAGGGTCCTCCCCAAAAGGTGAACATGAGGCAGCAGGCAGTACGGGCTTTCCCCTGTGTGAGTGGTTTCTGACATGTGTCACCTGGACCTCCAGCCTGTTTTAACAGCATGAGACTCAGAGGAGGGCTGTAGTGTAGACCCTGCTCTCCAAATGCACTGGCAAGGCGATCGTCTAGCAGCACTGGCAGCTGCACTTGGGGCTCCATGATTCATCCCATCCTTGACCCACCTAGGGCTGTGAGGCCGGCCAGGTGCCCTGCAGGGCTGCTCCTCCCATCTACGCCTGGCCTGGCCAGGAGGCCCTCCCTCCATGGTCAGGCACAGAATGCTTGCCTCATCGCATAAAGCAAGCATTCTTCCAGGCCGCTCATGCTGCCCACTCTCAGCGACCGCCCCCAAGACTGGGGACCTCCGGCAGGGCTGAGACGACTAGATGCTGCCATCTTGTGGCTATGGGCACTGCCATCTTTGTGACGGAGTGATGGTTAATTTGCATATTACCTTTTTATTAGCTAGGATGCTTCCTCTATTAATGATGTCTAGGAAGTGAAGAAACCACAGGTGTAGTTCCTTTTGGTGACATTTATTCCTTTAAATTGGAGTTTAAAAAAACCCAAATCTCTATTGTACACAAGCTGTTCACTCTGTCAATTCTTAATTGAAGATTGCCAAATAAAGAACACCACTTATGAAGTTATCTTGACCAAAATATTGAACCTGAATCTGATTAAGCCACTAGGCCTAACTGCTAATTTACAAGACTTTTTTTAAAAAAAATGTTTTATTCAATTTATTTTTTCTTAAATTTCACCTATTTGTCTACCTTGTTTTCATTATTCCCATATCCTTGCCCCAAATGAAACTTTTAAATTTTAGGTATCATTGTAATATCTAAGATTTTTTTTCCCCTCCTAAAACCATTGTTTTTCTTGTGGAGGCAATATCGCTCCCATTGAAATGTGTGCTTTACAGGATATGGTAAAAAACAATACTTGGTAATTCCATAAGCATAGGTCCTTTCTATACTTCTTTTTGCTATAAAACGTGTCCTTTGGTCAAAAGTATATTGCATGTTATAATATGATCACAATATGGCAAATAAGTCATTCTGTAAGTGCAAAGATGGTGGTACGGGCAGAAGAATTGAGGACAAGAAAGGCAAATCCAAAATAAATGCCTATTTCAGTAAGAAATTTGTGTATGCTCCATGATAACTACTCTTGACCTCTCAAGGCATTGAACACTCCACTACTTTCTCAACAGACTTCTATACAAAGTGGCAGGTATGTTTGCATGGAATCAATCATCTGGCTTCCACCCCTGCTGATGCCCAACAAATATTAGCAAGGCCAACGTTAAACCCTCAGTAGAAACCATTTTCCAGGAGATCAGCAATCCACCTGATGGAAAGTTGGTTATGGTGGACTCACCCAATAGTTACTCATACTCCGTTCTTACTATTCCCCTTTCCCTACACAAACGGTGGGAATATTCTTGATTGAAGTCTATCTTAAGACCAATAAACTCCTTTTTAAAAATATACTGTATATTTTTATTGGTTTCAGAGATGAAGAAAGAGGAAGGGAAAGATAGAAACAACAAAGATGAGAGAGAATAATTGATTGGCTGTCTCCTGCACACCCCCCACTGAGAATTGAGCCCACAACCCAGGCATGTGCCCTGACTGGGAATCGAACTGTGACCTCCTGGTTCACCACTGAGCCATGCTGGCTGGGCAAGACCAATAAACTCTTAATTGCTTTGTAATCTAACTCTTGATTGCATTGTTTATCATGAAAATATTCCCAAATATTGAGGTTTTTAAAATTCATGTCTGTAAACTATAACTCTTGAGAAGGAAAGAAATACTTTCATTCTATATGAAAGAAATAACAAAGGGCTTATTTTCTCATATTTTCAAAATCCCCAAAACAAGATGATATGTCTTAGAATTACAAATGTTAAATGTAATTAGATACAGCCTCTACTTCATCCCATGGTCTCCTGATCAAGATTCAATTCAATCAGCCTACATCTTTAGTTCTTCATATCATCAAGAATCTGACTGTGTATCCAAAATAATCAGTTTTCAAGTAAAAATATAGTCTGTGACTTGTAATTACCCTCCTTTAAGGTTTAGGAATTCTTGAGTAATTAATGCCTTTGGATTCTTAATATCTGTTTTTGAATGCTTAAATTGAAACAAAGCAGAACAGCAGGACTCAGCAATATTTAGATTTTTTTTTTTTTACTTAATGATAGTTGTAGAAAACAAGTTAAATCTGTTTCCCTCATATGGTCTGAGAATAGGTTAGCATATCTACATTTATACTACAGCTCTGCCTCCCCTCCCAAATGACTCAGATTTAACATAATGGAGTTTTAACATTAGGTAATAGAATGTCCTTTCCTAAAATAGCTATAGCCCAAAAGACTGTTATGTGAGAATAAAGTCAAAGAATTAGTAAGATCTGCATAAACACCTTGATCAATATCTGAGGAGAAATGTATGATCAAAGATGGACCAAGGGCACTCTTCTGATGTCCCTCCCTCTGCGAAAGTGTCGGGCAGAATTGGGCCATTAGAGCCCAAGGGAAATGGGAGTTTGAAGCAATTACCTAAATAATTCAGAGGAGAAAGCACACTTGAGTTTGTCAGAGTCACCCATATGAGCAGAAGGGGAATCTAAATGTTTCAAATCTTATTAGGAATTTATTAAAGTATCTCTAGGACACACATACAGATATTGACTCATTATGTATAGGAAACATTTTATTGCTGTAAAAATTAGGCTCGAGTACATGTGCTATTAAATAAATAAATGTTCAATTCTTTCTATTTTAATTTGCCCAATAGATAGTTTCTTTCACCCACGTAAGAGGTACCAGTAGTGCTCTTATGTTCTATTTATGGCATCTATAATTCTGTATTTCTAAAGTAATTTTCTCACTAAGAAGCATGAGTTTTCATCCAGAAGAAAAAAATAAAATCAGTATAGCTGATATGGATATGAAATAAAGGAGGAATGGAAAAGGAAATAGGATTACCCATTCACTTCAGGGAAATAAAAAGACTTGACAAAGTATTTTAAAAAATATTTTATTCACAGGGTACATTTCCAAATTTTCTCCAAGTAAGGGAGGTAGAGAAATTGAGACTTACTAGTGAACCTTCTCACTACCAGCCATAATTACAATGAACACACCAAAGGAAAAGACATGTTTTTACAGCAAACCTCCTCCTATGACATTGCATTTAGAGTCTGTGGAAAGAAATAACTCAAGCAGAACCAACAGAGATAGGTACTGTGTTTCTTTTCAAGTCACAGTATAAAAAGTACCAATTAAAGTTTTTTCTTACCTGCTCTGTTTTAGGTGAAAAAGAAGGAATGAAGAGCACTGATTTCCCCTACACCTCCTGCCAGCAGACTGTGGCTTCATTAGAAAGAAGTATTTCCATGTACACTTCAAGGGTGATTTCATTTTATATTCTAAGCTAAAGCCTTTTCCAGAATAATTGCATCCATCAACTAGTAGTCAGACTATATACTGTTTGAGAAAGGAGAAGAATTGAATTTTTCTATTTGCCTCTTACCTCTAGCCTCTGCAAATTTGCTCTTGAAAAACAGCTTGCACACCTGTGGAATGACATATAATGTGCAATCATTGAATTAGAGATCTTAGAGAAACTTTCTTTTTCAAAGATTTTCAGACCAATTATGCTGTAAGGTAACTAGAGTTCTAGAATATTCCAGACTTTTAAAAAATTAAGCAAGCTTTGCAATGGAGCTACCCTTGTCTGTTCTCTGTCTTCCTTCTAGTATCTCTGACTCTGTTGTACCCCTGTGGCCATCAATCATCCCAAATTATCAATCCTGTATATTATGAAGGAATATCTACACCAACCTACCAACAAGAAAGCCCAAAAAATGGGTACTTATGAATGAATGAGAAACAGAAGCCAATTGATTCTTTGCTTCCAAGAATGCTAGAATTTGCTGGAGAAAACATTCTTAATCTCTGCATCCTCTTGTAACTATCGCCTATAGCTCTCGATGAGAAGGTTCTATAGCTTCAAGAAAGGATATTTTCATACTGTTATCAGAGGTCTCCAAGCCCTAAATACTATATTGTGCATTTATATAAAAGTCACATTCACTACATTCGAGAGAGTTCTTGCTGATGACAAAGATACAACTTGGAACAGACATGGTTACACCTTTAAAGTGACTGGGTACATGAAGAAAATAGGTAAGAAAGTGGGCGCCAAGCCAGAAAAAGTGAATGTATCCTCTGCCACCCTCCTACCAGGTGAACCATCTTTCTCTTCAATGGGCATAAATAATGCAAAGTGTGTGTACGTGTATGTACATAAGAACATAGGGGAGAAAACCCATCTACGTTTCCTTACATAATGATGAATAGAAAAGCCTCTTACTGAAGTAACAGTGGGAACAGAGGGCTATAAAGCTTTTAAACTCACTATGCGTAGCATCAGTGGCCATGCAACCATGTTTCAAGGTGTCAATTTCCTCCTATTGCTCCCTCATCGTGACAGATCTAAATGTGAATGTGAACATGGGAGTGTTTGCATGTCCAGGTTCAAATACCAAGGAGAGCACAACTGGAGAGGGGCCGGAAGTGGGGAAGCTATAGACTGTGAGAGTCCTAGGAGGTAAACAGGTCCCCCTCTTCTGTTTTCTTCCCTAAGTGTCTCACAGTCTGGCTCTCACACTGCTTCCTCCAGCACCTTTCATCGTTAGGCACGGCAACTGCATGACAGTACATTTCCTTTAAAATGTCTGAAAAAGTTCTATTTTGGGAACTGCACTGAAGGACAAAAGCCTCTGTGCTCTCTGCTTAGCTACCTTCTGAGATCCCTCCTAATGGTCCTTCACAATTAAAATCCTGATTTTTATCTTCCTTTTTTTCCATTTTGGTTAAACTATTTTTAATATTGTAAGTATCCATTTCTCTTACTGTGCAGAGAAAAACAGACATATCTGAGTCCTGAATTTCTCTACCCTGGATAAAATCACATCTTGTAGATATATATTGGTATTGTGTGAAGCATGTGCTTTTAAAATGGCAAATATCTAGAGAAAATCTAATTACATAAGAGCAGAAAGAGACATGATCAATATATTGGAGTATTATTCTATAAAACTCCTAGACAGCTCTGCAACATTGCTTATATCCCACAACTTCAAAAGGAAAGCAAAATCACAAAGAATTTCACCACAAAGTCCAGATCAATAGGAACACAGAGGAGGTAGGTACATGAGTGAGCATCAACAAAATATAATTCGTCTTTTATTTTTATCTTAAAAAAGGTAGAGTTATAGGCTTTGGCTATCACACAAATGCTCACAGGTATTATAAGCCAATTTATAATAAGTTATTTATTACTTGTTTGTTAGCGATAGAATAAATCAGAAATGCAGGCACCAGAAGGAAGAAACTTAGAAGGAAACATAACCATATATTTTCCTATTGCAATGGCAAGCAGAGGTTGTGTTGTGTTTGAATGAGCTTTCCATTTGTGCACCTGCTTCAATCTCTCACCTCTAAGATGCATGTAAAAAATTCGAAGGACAAGACTAGGCTGAGGATAATGCCGACAGTAACCATTTTCTTAAGATAGGAAGGAAAAAGGTTATGGCAATTGTAGATTCATATATATTTTTTCTTCTACTTATTCAACCTCAGTATAATATGGCCTCACATTTTGGAGTTTATAAACAGACATTCTAAGCTTCGGGATTTCTCTGGGTTCCTCTCTAGGGTTTTAGAAAAGGCTCTGTAGGAACTGGTGGAATATTACCGTGTCCCTATCTTCAAGGACTCAGAAAATCCATCTGAAAGTGGGGGTTGGGAGGAGCTCCACTTTCAATAATCACTGGCAGGGCCATAATTAGGTCAGGGTGACTGGAACTCTGTCACAAGACACCTACATTTAGAAGCACAAGTTTAAGGGGGAAAAATCAACAGCAACAAAAAAGAACACCCTATGTAAGATAGTGTAAAATTTTAAGCTTCTCAGCAAATTTCCACACCAGCTCTCTAGTCACAAGGCTACTAGCTCCTCCCCACAGTGAGGCCATGGGATTGGACAGAGAAAGGTAGTGCTTGAAAGCCAAGGTCAAGCACAGTGTCTTCTCTGACCCTTTGTATCCTGAGAGCTTGAGAGCAGGGCTGTCTCCTCCTTTCCACTTGCCTCATCCACTGCCTAGCACACAGTGGATTGAAGTTGTCAAAACCGCTGGTCATATTTATAGTTACTGTTGACGGTGTTAGAAGCTTGACCTAAGCTGAAGGTTCCTGGAGTGATTTACCCGCTTCCAGCCCTGATGTGTACCCACCGGAAGTCATACACTCGGAGAGTCAACCTCTACCTACACTGGAAGATGAAGAAATACAAAGCACAGTTTTGCTCTCAGTCTTTACTTCTCCACATACTTGTCCCCCAGTTCCCACAAAAATCTTTATAGCTTTGATCACCAGAACTCTACAAACATAGAACAGGTATGTTCCCTGGTTCTGGTGAGAAAGTTTTCATACAACACAATAAGAATTTTATAAAAGTTTAAATGGGCTGTGACATTTCTTCCTCTTAGGTTGCTCTTAACAAGATTTCACAGTTAAAAATTTTCACAAAGTCCGTATTTTTAAACATACAAATTAAAATGACAGGTCACCAATTTTCCACACAAAGAAATAAGAGGCTGTGCATAGTATGCAACTATCATCATTGCTGACAAAAGGAATGTTATTGATATCATTTCCACTTGAAATCATCTGTAATACTCCTGTAAATATTTTGACTAATTAAAAATATTTTTGGTAAATTTAGAATTCTAGAATTTCTTCAGTTATTTTCCAAGTAGATTTTTTTAAAAAAATATGCTTTTATTAATTTTCAGAGAGAGGGGAGGGGATAGAGAGACAGAAACATCAATGAGAGAGAGAAACATCATTGATGGGCTGCTTCTTGCACGCCCCACACTGGGAATCGAGCCCGCAACCCAGGCATGTGCCCTGAATGGGAATCAAACTGTGACCTCTTGGTTCCTGGGTTAACACTCAACCACTGAGCCACACCAGATGGCCCAAGTAGACTTTTTAAAATTTTTTTTTATTGATTTCAGAGAGGAAGGGAGAGAAAGAGAGAGATAAAAACATCAATGATGTGAGAGAATCATTGATGGGCTGCCTCCTGCATGCCCCCCACTGGGGACCGAGCCTGCAACCCAGGCATGTGCCCCTGGCCGGAATTGAACCTGGGACCCTTCAGTCCGCAGGCCGACTCTCTATCCACTGAGCCAAATCCGCCAGGCCCAGGTAGATTTTAAGCCACGTTGTCCATTGCTTCAGGTATAATTTATATTTAACTTAAACAAAGTTTTTAGCCAAAAGAAGGGCATGAGACAACATAAAGCCAAACACAGAGTATTGTCTGAACATCTGCTATTCGGGATCACCTGGATCATTTTGGATCATTTGTCTTTGTTAAAATAGCTAAAAGTGAATTAAGCAGAAACAAAATTCAGGAAGAACGCTTCAACTTCTTGTGCTAGTTGCAGGTTAGATGCACAGCGTCCTATAAACTGCTGGTCAAATACTCTATATAAAGCTGTCATGTCCAATGTCCTCTTCATATAAAAATCTTTCATATAAAAATTATTTTGCTTTTCTTTTCTTAATCCCAGCTCATACATACAAAGTATGGTGATTATCAGAGGGGAAGGTGGAAGAGGGTGTGGCGGTGGGGTGGGGATAAATGATGTTGGGAGGAGACTTGACTTGGAATGGTGAATACACAATACAATATATAGGTGATGTATTATAGAATTATACATCTCAAACATGTAAATTTATTCACCAATGTCACCCCAATAAATTCAATAAAAATAAAGTTAAAATTAAAAAATTATTTCTTTCTATGAATGACTTAATCTTTCACCTATCTTCATTTTATGAAGTACAATAAAAATTAAACAGAGGTCATCCTCATTCATGATCCTTAGCATCAATGCAATTCTCAAATTAGAGCTAATAAAAAGACTCATCAGGAACTTATTTTCAGTTCTTTCACCCTTTCTTTAGCCCTCTTGGAGCCATCTAATTTTTCACTAAAGAACTTTAAAACTTAGACATAGTAATGCCTTCTCTTGGCAGATGCATTGAAAGTGATTAAGTACTTTTTTATTGAATGTGTCTACCATAACTTGAATATCTTCTGAGATGAATCTTAAGGGCCAGTAATATAAAAATGTAATTGACTAAATTTGGCAAAGTTTGAGGCACAGTTCTAAAGTCCTCGATTTCAGAAACACAAAATAATGAGAGTTTAGAATTCAGTTTCTTAATAGTAATAGAGAATTCCAGAGTATTCTGTAGGATAATTCTAGAGACATCCTTACTTAGGAATACGTGTATTTAAAAAGGATAGATGCACAAGTTTATTCTACACACACACACACACACACACACACACACACACACACACACACAAGCACATATACTCACAAGCTTAGGTTTAGATACATCTAACTAACCACAGAAATATGTATGGCATATCTCTAAAGTAATGCCAAACTTTAATCTACCCTAAGACAATATTCTCATTAACTTGTCATCACACTTTCAATGACATGAGCATGTGCATGTATCACAAAGTGGAAACACTATGGAACCATCAAAATATTTTGGTCTAATCTAGGGCTTCTCAACCTTGGCACTATTGACATTTTAGACTGCATGATTCTTTCTAGTGGGGAATCTGACCTGTGCATTGTGAGTGTTTAGCAGGATCCCTGGCCTCTACCCACTAGATGCCAGTAGCACTCTCCAAATCATGACAATCAAAAATGTCTCCAGACATTGCCAAATGTCACCAGATGGAGGAGGAGAATCACCCCATTTGAGAAGCAATGGTCCAAGTAAACATTATGAGTTTGGGATCGGTCTTGTCCTTCAGAAACCACAAATTTATAACTAAACATTGTACAAACCTATTGCACAAATCTATCCCAGGAATCATAACAAGATGAAACATTTCCAGATAGTACTTTCAATGGAACTGTGATTCTCTGGCTTTATGGAGCTCATTAATTACATTTTAACAATTAAACACTAATCTGAATGACATATTTTATTTACATTTGTATGTGTGGGTTTTTTTTTTTAGCCCTTTTATACTTCTGAGTAAGTATATAGGTTACAATGCATTATTTTTTAAGGTAATTATTAAATAATAACAATAGCTCAAAAGAGGAAATATATTCAGGATTGCATGTATAGAGCATATTTAACACAGCTTACTCAATAGTGCATTCTTACTACATATTTCCTGCCATACTGCATCAAAATAGCCAATCAGTTCTGCACAGAATCAATACTCTAAAATTCTTAACTTTCTAAGTATCAGTATAATGTGTGTTTTATCAACCACTCACATTTCAACTGTTGATTTCTATAATAACCTTCATATTCAATCTTATTTAGAAATTGCCTATTTCAATGACGTAGATATTTCCCAAGGGCATTGTTATCCTGATAACTTTTAGATTAACCTACCTAAAATGCCACCTGTCTTAATCTGTATTGTGTACTAAATTTCTACCATTAAAATATAAAAAAACTTTTTGGCACAATTTACCTAAATTTTGGTGATACTTAAAAAAATAAAGATAGTGATTTCTAGCATCTCCTATTAGAATAAGGCATCTCAAAGAACAAAGATAATAAAAGGCTTCCTTTACCTTTCTCTTATATGTAAACACATTTGGCTGCTTGTAGTCTGTCAGAGTTTGGCTTTCAAAGTAGTCCTATCTGCTACTATGAGAATAGATAGCTACTAATTCACACCCCTTTACTTGTATGAATCTATCTAATATGATCATACTCAACACAGGGTCCATTTGTGATATGATGGAGAGAGTCAGAATGAGTAAAACAATTCTGTTCATTTGGGGTAAGCATTTGGGGGTAAAGTTTGCATCTCAAGCTGGTATAAGCATTATGAGCAGCAACCAGTAAGCTGGTCTGTCTTATATCAGGGTGTGGGGGGTAGGTACATAATACATTTGGAACTCTCCAACACTAGTTACAGATTTTTGAAATACCAGTCATGTGGATTCATGGGAATGAGCTTTGTTAAGTTGTGTGTGTATGTGTGTGTGTGTGTGTGTGTGTGTGCATATGCTTTTTTCAGAGTGAATATACCATGATAGATAGAAAAGGGAGGAGCCTTCCAATCTGTCTTCCAGAGACTAAGTTTACCACATTGTGCTTTACTTCATCTCTGAACATTAAATTATAAAGACAATTATGCAAATAATTTTCAAATAAATAACGCATTCACATTTGTACTCTCTGTGCACTAAAATAATAATAATGCAAACAGGCTTATAAAATGCAGACCTAAAATTGAATGTATGCCCTACATTCTGAGGAGGAGGAAAAATGGTTCATGTTATTCAGACTGTGAACCAACACAGTCTAAATTCAACAATGTTTCACATTGTCTAAGTAGACTTGACAAAGGAGGAGGAGGTAATTCTTATTTAACATTTTTTAAATGGAGGGGGACTACAGTTAACATACACTTGGTTCAACAAATCACAATATCAGCTGTACTGTTTTGTGTCCTTAATACTCAGTAAGGGATTTTTAAAAAATCTACCCCATTACCTATTCACTTCCCCTAAATAGGACAAAAATAAATAATAACTTTTAAAAAATCTATGGTTCAAATTTCAGTCTTCGTAAGTAATTTTTTTAAATTAAGCCAGCTTATATTGATAATCAGTAACACTTTGCCCTGGCATTTCCTTTATTAACCTTGATGAACTTATCAACTTCAACAACTAGAGTTCCACCTTATTTGTGAACTGTACCTTCTCGATTTAAACCATGTAAATGTGCTTGACCAACAATCATTTCATCAGAATGTTGCAAATCCACAATGTGCTATCAAATACTTCATAAAGCATCTTCCTATTTGTCCTCCAAGCCAACATTAAAAATAGAGTTTCCTTTGGATTGCGGTTGCTGTTTGCAAGTGGCCCAGGCAAATCCATGAAATAACTGCACCACTTCCTTTTGCAGTCCTGTAGAAAACCTAGCAAAAATACCCTGGCTTAGTTCTTCCTTTCCCCATTGTCCCTAGGAAGTGGGCTGGAGTGAGGTAGCCTCACATGGGCCCAGCTGCATTCTCAGTGCGCCGATTTTATGAAGGTACCAGAGTTGGAGAAATTCCTCCGGCATGGCATGAAAGCCAGAAAAGGGCAAGACATTATCATAGTAGTGGTGGCTGATGGGCTGCTCATGCATATTCACAGAGAAGGGCCAGAAGCCATAGATGGCCACTTCCTCACAGAGGCCCAGGGCTGCGCTCACCAGAAAGAGTCCTGTGGACAGGCGTTTGGCATGAATTCCTCTACTTTTCCAGAACTTTCCAATGCTACGCAGAAAGTTGGGATTAGCAAAGAGCACTGTTTGATTGGCACCAACATCTGACAGTGTATAATAAACCCGGAGGGATGGCTCTGTTCCTGTCTTCATAGAAAAAGCAGGCATATAGATGTAGCTGTGGTTATAAATTTTCATGTTGTCCACAAATGTCTTTCTGGACCACAGCAGGTTCTGAAACCTATTAAAGAGAAAAAGAGGCTCAATTACCCTGGAGAAAAGAAAATCATCAACACCCACTCTGTTGTTCTTCTGATGGGCTTGATAGCTCATACATCCTTGAACTTCCAATTATCTCTCGTCAAGTAGTGTGGCTTTTCCCCACCTCAGCAACCTAGACTCAGGTTAAGAGTCCTTAATGAGATTTCCTCTTAACTAAAGTACATTGCACATTTTGTTCTCTTCCACATTTTTTTTTGCCTAGAATGTAAGGATGGTTTAATACCCATGAATTCAAAAAGTTTTGGTTATTGAATAGGATTTTGATAAAAGCTATTTGTGTGGTCTGACATAAGCACAGGACTGATTCCTCATCTGCAAGTCAAAGGAACACCTTCTAAAATACTCCCTCACTTTGAAATTCTATGATTTTACAAGTATTCAGATTAAGCGATGCTATATTATAACCATAATATTACATAGAAAAAAAAGACTTGTTATAAAATGATGCTAAGAGTTGCCCATGTTGCTTGCACCAAAGAACACTTCTTTCCTATGTTCTTTCACTTTGGATTATATGAAGTGAAAGGTCAACTATGTTCACCTAAAATTTATGGCACACATCCTATGTGTCAGACATTGGAGAATTAAAGATTTAATGACCCAATTTTGGGGACACTTTGGTCACTGACAAGGGTATACAGTGTACTAAAACCATGATGAGGATTCGGTGTTCCTGTAACAAGCAAGGCTGGAATGATGGAGGTTGTGGTGACAGGTGAGGCATGTGGCAAAAAACTTGGGCATCTCTAATTTGTTTGGACTTCACTCTGTGGTGATGGGGAGTCTTCACAGCAGTAAGTACTTACAGGATTTACTACTTGGGTTACAAATATTTCACCATCTGTTTAATGGTCAGTCCATGTCAAGAAAGGTAACTCTGGCAATTCAGAAGATGTTCTGAAGAAGGAGGAGGCTGGTGAACTAAAGACCAGTTAAGAAGTTGCTGGAGTAGCTCAAATGAAAACAAAGAGAAAAAGACAATAAAATAGGCTAGGGCCTTGCAACCTTTGTTTCCTTTCACAGGAAGGGGAGCCGCCCATCTCAGGTTATGTGAAGAAGGAGCAGCAGCATCTGAGAATGGAGCTGAGCTACAACTAGCAGAAGGAGTCTGGCCTGACATTTTGGCAGGGCTCATCATAAATATGTGAAACCAAAATTCTGAATACTCAAATCCACAAGATTTTATGTAGCAACCAGTGTTATTAACCTTGCCTTCCATGAAAGGTGTGTTTCTCAAGTCCAAAGGAAGGGAAATTGCTCAAGTTTTCTTCATGGCCTTGATTCAGCATCTCTAATTTGTTTGGACTTCACTTCAGCAGCCTGCTGTAGCAATATTTCCTGAGCTCTGACAAATAGAGAAGTGATCACAGCATTTTTTAGGTGGAATCACTTTACCATAGAAGAAGTCATGGAAGCACATTGAACTGAGCTAGCTTCTCCAGCAGAAATTCCCACTTCCCAACTTCCAAATAGGCTCTGCTTAGAAAATTTTAAATTTTTCATCCTTTTTAAAAATTTTTTTTATTGATTTAAGAGAGGAAGGGAGAGGAGAGATAGAAACATCAATGATCAGAGAGAATTATTGATTGGTTGCCTCCTGCACTCCTCCTACTGGGGATAGAACCTGCAACTGGGGCATGTGCCTTGACCAGTAATCGAACTGTGACCTTCCTGGTTCATAGGTTGATGCTCAACCATTGAGCCACACTTCCCAGGCAATCTTTCATCTTCTTAATTGCCCAGCCCTATCTCTCCTCCTAAACAGTAATTCTTTCTCAATAATGTAGACACACACTGCAGATAGTTTTCTTCTTTGTTTGAACAGTGGTTCTCAAACTATAGTTGGCATGATGTGGTATCACTTTCTGATGAGAGTTTTCCAGGGAGATGAATTTTTATCCAGCACTCCCTATTGATTGTGATATAAGTGTCCAGGGGATATACTTATTTAGAAGATCAAAGCCATTAACGTAATTTGTCTAGCTCTCAGCATCTATCCTTCAACACCTCTTTCTTTATATCTTCAACTAGAGATCTGGTGCACGAAATTCGTGCACTCGGGGGTCCCTCAGGCTGGTCTGCACCCTCTCACAGTCCTGCAACCATCAGTCGGACATCCTTAGTGCTGCTGCGGAGGCGGGAGAGGCTCCTGACACCTCCACGGCGCTCGCCAACCGTGAGCCTGGTTTCTGGCCGAGTGGCGCTCCTCCGTGTGGGAGTGCACTGACCACCAAGGGGCAGCTCCTGCATTGAGCATCTGCCCCCTGGTGGTCAGTGTGCATCATAGCAACCGGTTGTTCCATAGTTTGATCAATTTGCATATTAGCCTTTTATTATATAGGATGACATCCTTGTTGCAATTTTAAGAGGAAGAAGTGGTCCCTCTTCCCCACTGTGTCATGGAACAAACTATTTCACATTTTCTAAAGAACTCTTGTTCAAAGTGGGTTTCCCCTCTTTAAATCATCCAACTTCTCCACCTGTACTGAATTATCCCCTTCTGCCTTTCAAACACTGTTGGACCTTAAAAGAGAAAATTCTTCCGATGTCCATTCTGTTCTCAGAGATACATTCTAGGTCTCATTCCACCAGCAACATTCTAGAGCAGTTAGTATACTTCCAGTTGTTCCCTTTTGTTTCCTTAAACAATTCCTTCCTTATTGCTGTGCCAAATGACTCCTATTCCACAGGGCTCTGCTGGCTGATGGAACCTTCCCTATTTTTGTAGTGGACCACATACTAAGGTGAATTATAGACAGCTTCAATACAATCAGGGCAATTGATTTTCTGTTCCCTGTCTTAAAGTTGACTGATTATTCTTGAAGAGGGTAGTCTTCCTTCCTTGAGTTTTAACTTTGAAAAGGAACACACGTCTTAGATTTACTATATCTTAATTTTATTAACATTGTTTAAAAACCAGCCCATACTGTATATTGTATTGTATTACTTTTATCTACTCCATTCTTCAATAAATGGCATTATTTAACTCAATTTAATGCAATTTAATAACTATTTATGGCATACTTATTATATTTAATGTTATCCTAATCAAGAGTTTAACAGAAATGGTTTTGAATTTTACCAAATTATTATAAAATTAAATCAGAATTATAAAAGAGTGGTGTCCAGCTTATCTCTCCAGCCTCATAACTCAGCTACTCTTCATGCCCTCACCCTATGTTCCAGTCATCCCTGTATGTGCACCTTTCCATTTTTTTGCATACATAAATCCCTTGTTGCTCATCATTCATTGTTTTTTTTCTTTTTTCTAAATATATTTTTATTGATTTCAGAGAGGTAGGGAGAGGGAGAGAGAGATAGAAACATCAATGATGAGAGAGAATCATTGATTGGCTGCTTCCTGCACACCCCCCTACTGGGGATTGAGCCGCAACCTGGACATGTGCTCGGACCAGAATCGAACACAGGACCCTTCAGTCCACAGGCCAACACTCTATCCACTGAGCAAAACCAGCCAGGGCTCATCATTCATTGTTGATGGAAATGCAAAGTGGTACAGCCACTTTGAAAGACAGTTTGATGGTTTCTTACAAAATTAGACTTTACCATGCAATCTAGCAATCACAATCCTTGGTATTTACCCAAAGGCGTTGAAATTGTATATCCACACAGAAACCTGTACAAGCATATTCATAATTGTCAAAACTTGGAGCAACCCAGATATCCTTCAGTAGGTGAATGGATAGAAAAACTATTAAATCCATACAATGGATAGCTCAGCACTAAAAAGAAATGACCTATCAAGCCATGACAAGACAGGAAGGAACATTAAATGCATATTACTAAGTTAAAGAAGTCAATCTGAAAAGGCCACATACTACATGATTCCAACTTAAAGACATTCTGGAAAAGGCAAAACTATGGAGACAGTATAAAAATCAGTGGTTGCCCAGGGTTGGAAGGGAAGAATGAAATGAATAGGTGGAGCACAGAGGGATTTTATGGCAGTGAAAAGATACTACATGATACTATAACAATGGAAATATGTCATTATACACTTGTCCAAACCAACAATATGTACAACACCAAGAGCGACCCATAATGTAAACTAGGGACTTTGGGTGATTATAATGTGTCGATGTAGGTTCATCAATTATAACAAATGTACCACTCCAGTGTGGAGGCTGATAATGGCAGAGGCTGTGTGTGTGTGGATATGAGGTATATGGGAAATCTTCGTACTTTCCTCTCTCAATTTTGCTGCAAACGTAAAAGTGCTCTAAAAACATAGTCTTAAATAAAAACCACATCATAGCTTCTTTACACAATAGCAATCACATTTTAGAAATATATAATAAAGATATATTATAAATTTAGAACTGCCAAGTCGGAGATGAGCAAATTCAAAGGGCCAATATACATATTAAAATATGCACAAACAGACTGTTGAATCTCAGACAGAAGGCAGGGGAGGGTGGGTGGGAAGAGATCAACCAATGAACTTGTATGCGTATATATACATAACCCCTGGATATAGACAATGGGGTGGTGAGTGCCTGAGGGGTAGGGAGGACAGGAGTGGGCTGAAAGAGGTTTACGGGGGTGGAAAAAAGAGGATCTATGTAATACTTTCAACAATAAAGATTTTTTTAAAAGTTGACACTAGAAAAAATAAATTTATAAAATAAATTAAAATAAAATATGCACAATCACAAGCATGAAATTTATACCAATTAAAACTACAGCAAAAAAAAAAAACACACCCCAGTTTTCCACACACTGAATTGGTAAAAATTAAGAAGCATGTTAATAATTATTAGAAAAAATGTGAGAAATGGGTACTTTCATGCTTCAAATAAGAGTATGAATTGTCACAGACAGTTCAGAAGGTGATCTGGCACTTTCAATATACACACCTCCTGGCCCAGCACTTCCATTTCTCAGCTGGCACCCTTGCTATTTACAGAGCAACCTCCCTCACTTCTCGTAGGTCTTGAC